TTGGTAATAATGTAATTTGTTATGATGTGATGTCAAAGAATTTATTATTCGAAAAGAAGTTTTTTCGTCTATTGTTTTATCAAATTCAAATCAAAAAAAAATCCGATGTCCGAAAGAATTTTAAAATCTCATAAATAAAAAATTTGAAAAATGCATTAGATTAGAAATTAAAATAATGGTCTTAATTCCATTTTGAATACATTGTTCCATTTTATGCCAATTGTATTTGGTATATGTATATAGAACAATGAATAACCTTTGACAATTATAAGTTAATAAATTTACAAATAACAAAAAAAAAATAATTAAATTTACTTAAGACAATGACTTAAAATTTTAAATAATAATCATTACTATTTTTATAAAATATTATACGGCCTTAAGTTATATATCATATGGATATTCTTTTTTTATTATTGCCACGTTATTTTTGGTTTATTATTATATAAATTGAAATTTATGTTAAATAAACCTGTATAAAGTATACCCTTTAGCATAAGTAATTTCATTGTTTTGCTCTGCTAGACAAATTATCCAAAATAACAAATCAGTAAACACCTTGAAACGAAACGTTACTATATCGGAACAATATTAGGAGCCGTTCACAGAATACCTGTGAACAGAAAATTTGGTCAAGCATTATGACCAAAATTATATTAATAATTGCGAATTTCTACCAAAATATTTTTGATGCGTGTATCAAATCACGACCTACAAACTATATTATAGCAGGCCGATAAGAAAACTTGTAAATGGGAAATTGCAAATATGTAAATTTGCAGGAAGTGGTTTGAAGAAATTGGTCTAGGAGATGTCATTAGACCATTGATTACGAAAATTGTTTGGCGCAGTAATTGAACGGCAAAGCTTTCCGTTCCGTTTAAATTCTTTGGACCAATTCCAATGAAAATATTTTAAATAATAATTTATATACTAAACACAAATTCTTAACCTTGTTCTAAACGTAATAATTTAAAATGTTTAAACTAATATAAAAATCATAAGCGTTAAAATATATAATAACAGAAAAGTATTGGGAGGTATGCTATTAAAACACATGTTCGGATCATATGATTTACTATGTATCATAACTTTTGTCGAGGTTTAGTTACAAGTCAAATTTTAAATAATATCTATAATTTTTAAAAATAGTAATCTCTATTATAACCTTGCCTTTTTAGTAGTTACGACATATTTATATTCGAACCGTTTAAATATTGATATTTTTACGTTTTTACGTACAAAATAGTTTATTATTATTTGGTTTTATTTGGCACAGAAAAGTTAAAATTCGCTTTGTCAGTTCTCATTTCGATTACAAGATAAAGCTTGCGATTCTTGCGATTGAAAGAAATTATTAACTTCATAACTTTTTTTCTGAATAGTTATTTTAATTGATAACGTGTTCACAATTAAAATATTTATTCAAATCAATATCGTCATTATTTATAAAACAATAATTTCTTCTAGCAAGTCCTACATTTGCTGCGCAACCTCCTATAATAACCATAATAACCGTTCCTGCTTCCAATATCGTCAAACATTAAAAAATTTCACTATTTCTAAATGAGTTTCAATTTACCAGTATAAAATCCAAATTTCTTAGAAAAAATGTAGGCAATATTTAGTCCAAGTATTTGGTTTTTTTTTCTTTAAATTTAGCTAGTTAAAATCATTAGCATTGTCGACTACATGAATCTTTCTTTATTCATGCTTTGACTAAGAGAGGTTCTAAATTGAACAAAAAAAAGCAAATAAAGTTACATGATAAAATTGGTCGATGTTGCCTCGTTTCTCATGAAACAGCTACCATTCAATTCCTCATGACTAGACTTAATTCCTCAATCGCAACTATCTTGAAATTGTAACATAGAAATCGATGAATATTTTTAGCTCATTGGATTCTTCGTTGCGAATGGTGATTTTTTTCGTGATAACTGGCAATATCATATTTTGTTTTTTTAATAAACTTCCCAAAAAAGTTCGGGTCATGTGATTATATATGTATAATGTGGCTAATTTTAATAAACCAACCTTAACTTATATTAACCCTAATTCCACATCACAAGTAAACCAAGTGACAAATAGGTTTTCACACACTTAAATAACCAGATTAAATAGTAAAAAATGAAATTTGGTGGGTGTGACGCGGCGTGACAGATTATTATGTAATCACATGACCCTAGCTTTTTTGAATGATCATGTGATACATTTCGAATATCATAAATTGATTAATTTCGGTTCATAAATTATCCGAAGTGGTCATTTTGGATAAATGCAGCAAATAATGTACCGAAACCGCATTTGAGATGTCACAAATGCAATTGGGAACAACAAACATAGCTATTCTATTTAAGTCGTATGAAAATTATTCATTTGAACTTTTGGACAAAAATTTTCTAAATGTTAACAACAGAAATAAAAAATTCCTACGCCGATTTTAATTGGTTAGAAAGAGCGATATCGGAAAGTTATATCAAGTATTATGATGATTTTCCGAGTTCATTAATAGGGAAGACGTAAGCAGTGGCACTTATGGGAATGTTTCTCGCGCAAACTGGAAAGGTTCTATCATGGCTTTAAAACATTCTTATAATTTGACCATTAAAGAGATTTTTAATGAGGTAAATTGTTATAATATGTCTTTTTACATTCAATAAAATCATATTAACTTATTTAGGATAAAAATAAATAAAAATGCAACGAGAAGTTAATTATCATGCAAATATTATAAATATTATAAAACTTTATGAAATTTCAAAATCGGAATCGTTAACAAACAAGTATTTATCTGTTATGGAATACGCTGATGGCAATCTTATTTAAAGGAACATTTTATCAACCTAAAATGGAGTTGTAAATTTCAACTAGCATTAGAACTTGCAAATGCTGTAGCATGTATTCATAACGAAGGAATTATTCACTGTGATTTGATAATCAATAATTTTTGTTTAGTTTGTTATTGATAGTTTATATCAAATAAGATAATAAATATTCTTATGTTTTTATATAGCATGCACAAAATGTGTACATCAAAATCATATAAAGTTGGCAGACTTTGGTTTGTCACGAAAAATAACTGATGAGTCAAGTTATTCAACAGATGTGTTTGTTATATAGATCCAAAATATTTAAAACAATATTTAAAATATGAACAAAGACCAACATTATAAATTGAACACGAAATCTGATGTTTATAGTTTTGGAATTCTTCTTTGGCAAATTTCAAGTGGGAATAAACCTTTTTATGCCGAAAGTGTAGAATATGATACCAATTTAATAATGAAGGATGAGAGAAAATATTGTTATGGATACTCCTATTGAATATAGTAATTTGTACGAAGGTAAATATTAGTGCCATTTATTTATATGCACGTGATTTAATAATATATCATTTACCAGCATGGGATAAAGATAATCCAAATGAACGTTCTACTATGCAACTAGTTGTTAAGTTACTTCAATCAATCATTTTTGGAAATATAATGATGAAATTGATTTCATTATTCATTCAGAAAATAAAACGGAATCAGTAAACATGGTGGGTATTTACAGTAATAATTCTGAATTATTTCTGAGCAATTTATCGCAGGACTGGAATTTAGCATCAATATATAATGAATGCGACTCAGATATTTTATATCAAGCAGAAAAGTTAACTTTGGAAGTATTTGATAAGGAAGATGATATAAATGTTCTTATTGATAAACCAATTAAACTATTAATTAAAACGCATGATGAAGGAAATAATTTAATGCCAATCAACGCTTTATTGATCATTGTATTTTTCTTTCAAATCAAACTTTGAATGAGATCTTTGATTGGCTTAATGAGAATCAATTTAAATCAAAATATCAATTTTTCTTGGGATTTTTATATTTCAGTTTGGAGAAAAATTACAATGAAGCAATTAAATTATTTTTAAGTGCTTCCGAAGATTATCCGATTACACAAGTATATCTTGCAAATTGTTATAAAGAAGGACTTGGAATTGAGATAAATTATGATCACGCTTTGAATGGATTCAAATAGCTGTAGGAAGTAAAAGTATTTATGGATAACTTAATCTTGGTATATATTATGAACATAAAATAGAAACAGATAAAAGTTTAGATAAAGCTTTTTACTGGTATCAACGAGCGGCTAATAATGGAAATTTATGTGGATTGTTTAATTTAGGTAGATGTAATGAACTAGGAATAGGTATAGAAAAAAATGAAAGTAAGGCATTTGAAATATATAGAAATTTCATGAAAATGATTTTATAAATGGAAAATTTAAGCTTGGACTTTGCTATTATTTTGGAATCGGAACTGATATCAATAAAGAAGAAACATTTAAAATCTTTAAAGAATTAGCTGAAAATGGGTATGATAATGCAAAATTTTATCTTGGTTATTTCTATAATCAAGGTGTGGGTACAAAAAAGGATTTAAAAAAAGCCAATTACTGGTATCATAAGGTAGCAGAAAATGATAATGTAGTTGCATTGCATGATTTAAGTTATGTAAAAGGAACAAAGAATACCTTAGAAAAAACTTTTCATTGGTATCGAAAAGCAGTAGAAAATGGTAGCATAAATGCACAAATTAAGCTTTCAGCATTATATGGATATTGCGAAGCAGTAAAAAAGGATTTTGAAATGTACTTTTATTGGATTGGTGTCATAAAGCTGCTACAATGGAAATATTATTGGAATGTCATATATGGGTATATATTACGAATATGGAAGAGGTGATAAAATTAATGTGTTTAAAGCATTTGAATATTATCAAATGGCTGCTAAACAATGATATCAAGATGCAAAATTTTCTTTATTGTTATGTAAATGAATTGGAACAGAAGTTAATAAAGAAATAGTATTCAAGTTATACAATGAGGATACTAATAAAAAAGTTAGCAATATGCAAAATATTGAATCATTATATGAAAATGCCGATAAAATGAATGATTTAGATAATGTTAATTATTGGTATCATAAAGCAGCGGAACATGACAATAAATGTGCATTATACAAATTAGGTGAGTTGTATGAATTAGGAAAGTGCGTTTATCAAAGTTCAATTAGAGCATTTGAATTTTATAAGAAATCGGGCTAATCAAGGATGCTTAGAAGCTCAATATGAAGTTGGATATTTTTATGATAATGGAATTGAAATTGATGTTAATAAAGAAAGGGTTATTGAATTGTATAAAATAGCAGCTAATGAAGGTAGTTGTGATGCACAAGAAAGGCTTGCATATTTATATGAACATGGTGAAGGAATAAATAAAATATAGATTATAGTATAAAAAAGCCATAGAGAAGGATATCAAGAAGCCAAAGAAAAAATTAAAAATCTATTGGGCGATTAATCTTTATCCGATCTCTCTAATAGCAATTTATTTTTATTAAAACTTAATATGTTACTTCAAAATACTTTAGATTTGAAATATAAAGAAGAACATTTTACTTGCCAGTCATATAATTACTTTTGTTTTTCGATAAGAGCGAGTCCTAATTTATTTAAATTTTGACTGTTGTTAAAAATTTATTATTATTTCATGATTAATTATTAATTTCAAATAACTCTGTTGCAAGAATTATTTCATAGTTCTGCTCTTCTGTAGAATTTGGAAAAATCTTATTTTAATAATCGATTAATAATAAAATTTATTAGCTTTATATAATTTATATAAACATGTTGAAATTTTTTAATTTTATGGCAATTAATGTCTGTACTTAGGTTTACTGCAAATTCTTCAAACAACATAATGTTTCTGAATAATTTTGACCCATTAATTTCTTTTGCGTTGCGTACGTAGCCTTTCAAATTAAATTTCATTGAATTGTCTTTATTAAAAATTTACCAAGTTTGAATTTAACGAAGAGATGTGGAAAAATCAAAAATTTGATAATTAAGCTAATTTTTGTATACTGAGATAAGTTAAGTGGTTTAATTTTTTTAATTTTCAATATTTATATAGCAGGCTTATTTTTAGATGGTAAGTTTTCTTTAATTATTTTTTTTTTTGAAGATAAAATTTGGGAAAATTATTAAGGGTCTTCAAATAGATCTCGATACTTTTTTTTATAAATCAATAAGAAATGATTGAATCGAAAGGTAATCTAGACGAATTTTTGAAGGAACTATGTAATTTGTTTCAAAGATATAGTATTTGTTATTCTTTCAAAAAAATAAAATTTTGTATAAGTAATAATTAACAAAATGTATCGCAATTTTTGAAAAATTTTTTAGCCCAAAGATGCAAAAATTACCTTCTTGAGCTACTGTCTTCATGTATATTTACTATTGTATAATCAATAGGATCTGCAACATGCATATGGCAAGGTCAAGAAAGTAACACGAGGGGGTCAAAAAGATAATATTTGCCCCAAAGATCGAAAGATAAATAAATTTAAATTTAAGCGAACAACATACTGCAGTATACTGCAGGTAAGTTGAATAAGTTGTTAATACTTGCTAAATTAAGCAATAATAAATATGGGATAGATATTACATCATTTTTTTCGTTCATTATAAAAAAATTATTCTTAAGCATATTTCCTCCCTTACCTCTTCCCTTCTTTATTCTTCACCTCCTTCACCCCTTTTCTCTTGGATTTTCCCATTCTATCTTTGCTAAACTTTAAAGTATTACCACAGTGCTAAAGAAATCATCTTTACGAGGTCGCTCTTTCTCTTTTTGACAGAGCTGTGCAGTTTAAAAGGGAGAAAGAAAACCGGTTCGGCTGATCAGTACGGTACGATTGGATAAAGTACCGACCCGTACTGTACTGGCCTATAAAAAAAGCATTATAAATAGGACCAGTACGGTACAGTACGGTACATCTATTATTGTTTACCGTACCGATTATCTATCTATATGCCTATGTTAAGATCTCATACTAGGATAAGCGTTCTTAATAAAAAAAAAAATTTTTTTTTTAAAAAAAATAATATCAAAATAAATTAAATAACATGATCGTGGAGAGAGGAGGAAAACCAGTGAGTTTTCCAAAATATATGATCGTATCATACTGGTCTCAATAATATTATAGATTCAGTACGGTACGATCATAATTTGAAAGAACGTACTGTACAGAACCTACTGTACCAGTTTAAACTCTTGCTTCTAACTTTTTTTTATAAAAGCGATCCTCAAACATTTTTCACAATATTTGTTTGTAATAGTTTTCCATTCAAGTTACGAGTTTAATAATATTAAATTTAGGTTGATTAACTGGAATTATGCCCGGATGTTCAAACTATAGATCCAATGATTTGTTATTTCAGTGACAGAGTGTGTATTCTTAATGTTTAATTTTTGCAGTCCGGGTGCTTTGTAGCGGATACGGATAGTATGAAAATTATTCATAGGAGGTATCTTTTTTTATTTTGATTTCTTTAACGATATCTAGGCAGGTGGTAAAGGTCTATTATTTGGGTTAATTAATATCACTTCCTTTAGTTTCTGTCTATTCGATCGTGTCCTCACCTCACATAACTTCTTAAACTGCTTTTGTCTAAGGGCGTGGTTAGTAAAAAAAGTTTTAGCTTTAAAAGGAGAAGCATTTCTAGTGGTATCCTTGAGCGACGGTTTAGTACTTTGATTCAGACGCTCCCTAGAATTTGCCTATACATCCTCTAGAATAGTTCACCTTACACGTGAAATATTCCTTTGAGGAGTTGGTCTATTTCACACGCCTTTCTTTGAAACATTTGAATACCCATTTTTGATATTATAGTTCTTTTTATTTTTTGTTAATTTTCGTTATTTTTCTTTTTAATACCGTTCTACAACTTTTCATTATATTCTATAGGTCTGAGAAAGAGAGAAGTTATAGTATTTGATGATTATTTACGTAAAAGAGAATGCCTTTAAAAAATCATTATTCACAAAGAATATTGTTTAATACCAAAAAAAGCTCTATAATGAAAAATGGTTTTTGATATGCATATCTTATAATCAATTATTCACTTATTTATGCAATACTTCCTTCAAAAATAAGGAAGCTAAGAGGAATCTTCAACTGTGAACTGAGCAACGCATCAGACAGTGAGTTATAAAGTTGCAGTCAATGGATCGCTTTGAAGAATACATCCCAGAAATCTTAGCTTTAGATTGTCAAGATATTGTAAATACTTCATCTTACTCTGTATTAAAAAAATTTCAAAGCAAATGTTTCAGGATCTCTTTAAAAAAGTCATTTAGAGCAGGATATTAATTCGTTTAATACTAAAAAGCTAATAAAATCTTCTTGTTCTCAAAATCTTTATATAAAGGTAACGATTTCAATCCTCTAGAAAAGATCAAGAATTAAATATATAATAAAATCAGTCAAAAAAATTTACCAATCAAACAAGAAAATAAATCGAAATGATGAAACAATTTTTGGTTTTCTTGCTTATTAATTAAAAAAAATCATATTTGTTTCAAAAAAGCAGCTAGCGATATCAAATTTATTAAATTTAGAAATGATAAAGCTTTTCAGGAACAACATCGAAATGCTTTATACTAAGATTAATGATCAAAAATAATTAATAAACTTCTGAGTCAAGAATATAACGTAATAGGAAATTCTTGATATTTTATTTATTAATTATGCCAGTGAACAGATCACAATTCAGCAGGATATGAACTTCCAGGTATATAGCACAAAATCTTCAATTTTCGCTAAAGATCATAAAAATTTTTTAACTAATAATTTTTTTGGAAGGGTTGACTTTTTGATAGATAATATAATTTTTGTATATTTATAAATTTTCCTTAAATGATCATTTGACTTCAAATGACCTCTGTTGTTAAGGTCATGCCATTAATTCTTCAATCTATAATAAACTTTATGTTGAATTATCAAAACCCAAGCAGAATTTGATCAAATATTATATAAATGAAAAATACAGTATATAACATCAGATTTGTAATTCAAATCTACAAAGACTATACTAAAACCTTATATATAAGAAAGTGTTAAAATGGTAAATAATAAAACACAATAAAAAAAATGAAATAATATCCAACTATTCAAATTAAGTTATTAGACTTCACAAAATGAATAAATAAATAAAAAGATTAAAAGATATAAAAGATGGATTTAACTTAAAAAAAAATTCTAAACAAATAAATTTTATTTATGGGCAATTGGGCAATCGTAAAATATCCTAATTTTTCATTTTCATTGCTTTAATTAATGCTATGAATAACGCAGCAATTGCAGATCAAAAATATCAAAAATATCAGCTATGTCAGACATATCAAATTTGTTTTACATTTGTTTTATTTATTATATTTGCTATACAATTTCATTTTATTTATCTGTTATATTTATTTTATTTATTAAATCTGCGAGTTAATTAAAAATGATTTTTAATAAATAGTTCAGGAATTCTATTTAGTTACAGACAGAGAAAATAGCAATTTGATAAGAGTTTCTCTCAAAATCTTTAAGAAAAGGCTTGTAGAAACCGATCGCCCCAACCCTTACGAATTCCGCTTTATTATATAGTAATTCCGTTTGTTTTGTCATTTTGTTTTGATTTAAAACTTCTCAAATAAGCAAATAACATACAAACATCACGTATGTTCGTGATGTAACAAATGCTATCATCATTATTATTATGATCTTTATTATTATTACTGTATTATTAATATTACTATTACTATTACTTTATACGAAACGAATTAAAAAATTAAGTAAGTTCTATAATAGTACATCCTTAAATATCTTCACATCTTAATATTTGTTAATAATAAATTATCGTTACATGACACGCTGTAAAATATATATACCGCAGCATCTGATTGTAATTTAGATCATATCTTGACAATATGTATCACTATTATATTCTGTTAACGTTATACAAGATTATTCTTATTTTTTTTTTAATAAATTTTATTCTTACAAATTTATAACAATGTCTGATAGTAACAATAAAGGTAAAAATATAATAGATAGATTTAAAAAATTTTCATCAAACAAAAAAATTAATAAAAGGTATGAAGCTCGGGATGATTTTCTAAAAAATATTTTTCCATAAATTCACAGAGCCAGTTTCGGATGCACATCCTCTTTAGAAGAAATAGAAGGTACTTCCTTCCATGTATTATTCATTAACCATATTTAATGTTATAATAAAATTTCATCTACTAAAAATTAAATTTGATCAAATTTAACGTAGAACCAGCTTCAAGTGAATAAGGTAAATAAATTAATACTACGAAAAATTGTAATGTAAACTAACCTTAAATGATGAAATTAAATATAATAACACTGTAATTCGTTAGCTATATTAATTAGTTTCGAGTGATGAAGGTAAATTTAATGGCAAATATAAGTATTCATCAAATATTATAATCTATTAATTATACTTAATTTTATTCAAAATATTCGAAGCGTGAAATGAATTATAATTATATATGCTACTTTGTATTCTTTTACTGTTATATTTGGAGTAGTGTTTTTTTTTATTATAAATGCACTTTATACAAGTTCCAAAGTTTCAAGAATTCCATAGCTGGAGTTGGTACTTTTGCTAGTATTTTGGCAAGTATGAAAAAAATATCTGAAACTTGTTCAACTCGTCCCCAGATATTGATAAAAAATTAGTTGAATTTGTTGTTAACCATGGTCCAAAGAATGAATTCCTGAAATAATTGATAAATGTAATCAGATCTCGGAATATGAATTAAAATCAATGTAGGATCGTATTTCTGTGTTGGCGTTCATCGGTTCTATAATTTTTATTGCTGTCATTATTCTTGACTTTATTTTAAATGAGTTTTTCACATCTTATATTTTGGATGACATTCTTTGTATTATTGGGACATTTGGTTTGATATACTGTATAATGTTATATGATAAACATCCAGGATGGAAAAATAAAAATTTAATTATATTCTCTTTACAAGCCTGCGTTTGTAGGGTTTAGCTTCACCGAAATTAACACAAGAACCGATATAACATCGCAAGAAATCAATTTATAGAATACAAAAATGATTGTGTTTCACGAATCACTATTAAACATAAAAGTCGAAAAACTAATCCACGAATGAGGAAAGAAAGGAAGAAAAGGTAGAACAAATTTTATTTGGTTCAAATAAAGTAAATGAAAGTGAGAAGACAGAATAAGATATAGTTTAAGCTACAGCAATCAAGTTAGAATAACACATTATTATTATTATTTATATAAATATATTAATAAAATTTGTTTTATTTTAAACACGTGTATCGGAGTGTAAATCTGAATAATATAATTTTAAAATAAGTAAATGACAAGCAAGATCTATTATTTGAGGAAATATGTACAGTACAACAACAAAGGGGTTGTAAAATCGCAAAAAAAAGCGGTTGAGTGAAATTACCGGTGCGGGATTAATTTAATATGTTAAATATTTAAACTGGCGAACTATTTATTTATGAATTTTTATTATATCGAAACAAGAGATTTTGAAATCTTCTTACTATGAGCAATTTCATTGGCTTCCATAAAACGTTCAAGGAATTTTGCTAGAAAATTGTTGACATTAGAGGTTGATATATTTGACTGGTTAAAATTTAACTTGTAAATTTGGCTGAGCTATAGAAATTATTTGTAATCATAAAATCTTTAATTTTTGGCCGAAAATTAATTAGGGTCGGAATTAACATCAGCATTTTAACCGGTTGATTTAAAAAAAGAACCTTAAAACCGTTAAAATAACCGGTTAAACTTAACCACTACCGATCTCTTACGCTTTACATCTGTAGAATAATATTCCTCATTATGTTGGAATATTGTAAGATTATATTTATAAAAACAAACTGCGTCAAAAAATTGGGATAACAAAATAAATAACCTTTAATTAAAATAATTATCCCCTAATACATGAATGCTTTTTTAACTTTTCAAGGAATACTTAAAGAGTTAATTAACCATCAAATTAATCAGCCATGACCCATGATAATTTTTACCATCAACCTTGATGATTATTAGTGCGTCTTTACCAAGCATCTGTGATCATGTGCAGTACCATTTTAATCATCAACATCAAACTTCTCAACAGTCATTAAACAAAAATACTTATTAAAAAAAATCATTTCTAATTATACCTCAATATGGAAATTTATCTAATGACTAAGCTAACCTTGTACGATATTGTGACGAGCCAATAAAAAAAAAATTTCTATAGTAAAGGCATGACAATCACTAAAACAATTGTTATGCAAAGATCTTTAATGAACAATTATTCATGAACTTCATTATGTAATACGTTTTGTTTTTATTTATAAACGAAAAGGAAGGTAAGCGAAGGCTTTTAATTAGGTAATTATGATGCAAGATTTACTTAATAAAAATTAATTCACGAACTTCAGCGGAACTAATCTAATTTGGAAAATGCTATAATGCCATGCCCTTTGAATTTGTTGCAAAGGAAAATTGACCAGAACGTTTGACAAATGGTCATTGGTCGGAAGACAATTTGTCCCGTCGTCAATTTGTTCAGTGGTCAGTCGTTTTGATCATCATGATCTAAGACCATTTAGTTCGATTACAACATCAAGGTAACAATATATTCGGGATTAATAATAATAAAACAATATTCAAACTTGAACATTGTAGTGGTCAGTATATATATATATCGGTCTACTTATAAAATTCTAAAGACTATTTTCACTCTTCTTAGAATAACTATAAGTTGGGAAATTCTAGCATCATTTTCCAGAGAATATTAAAGTAGAAACCTTGACTTTAATCTAAAATTCAAACTTGTAATAGATTGACTTTAGGCGCTTTTGACCTTTATTTATATCTTCCTAAAGATATGATATATATTTGTTCACGCCATAATTTACAAATCGAACATGAGTGAAAAAATCAGGATTGTTCTTTTTGGCCTAACCGGGCAAGGAAAGTCTTCCATTGCTAATATGCTAATTCAAGGTGATATTTATCATGAAGGCAATGTATTCGCAATTAATGATGGTGCTGTTGGTGCGAGCTCTAAGATACTATCCAGTATGAATGATAAATTTATAGTGTATGATACGATTGGAGTAGGTGAAACGATTTCTGGGAATGTTCCGCATAAGAAAGCTGTCAAAGAGATAAGAGATTATTTTGCTATATGTCAGGAGCGACTCCACTATATAGCTTACGTTAAAAAACAGGGTCGATTCACTGAAGATGATCGTAAAATGTTTAAATTATTTAATGAGATCTTTGAGAGATGTGATAAAAATTTCATTATTATTATCACTCATAGTAAACAAAAATGGGTCGACAATCACTTAAATACAATAAGGCAGAATTTTGGAAATAATTCAAATTATCCAATTATCCCTGTCGATTTTCCTTGGAATGAAGAAGTTGATGTTGATCAGCATCGAAATATAAGAGCAGGAAGTTTTCAAAGTTTGACTGATAAACTTTTGAATTCAATACCCAAGAGTATTAAACTTCAGGTTCTTAGCTCATCACAGATGATCGAGAACAACGTAGCTCAAGTTATTGACATTGTACCAGTTGCTGGCTCGGCATATCAACTGATTTCTTCTGGTGTATACTATAGGATGGGAAAGACAAGCTTAGCAGAAGAACGAGCTATAAATGGGGCTATAGGGGCCGCAATGGATATTGCATGTGTTAGCTATCTTCGGGTTGGTGTATCTGCAGGTAAGGTAGCAGGAAAAAGTGTAGGAAAAATCGTTGCGAGAACTATAGGTATGGAAGCGTTGTCGAGAACTGCGCGAAAAGGATATAATGTGTTCAAATCTAATAAATGATTGAATCGGTTTCCTAATTACCTTAGTATAAATAAAACATTTTCATTAGCTTAAGATATTTTATTAAATAAAATATTATCGCACATATAGCGTTTATTATTAAAGATCCTATCAATTTATCATATTTTGACACTGAGATTTCAAATTACTCGTTCATTTAAGTACTTATAGTTTATGAAGAAAACGATACTAAGAAGCGAAATATTTGAAATTTTAAAAATCGGTTTACTTTAAACATTATATAGAATTCTTTTTGAAACCGCCAAATAAATACTAATTTAATTTTATTTTATTTTATAAAAAGTAACAATTGCATGGTAGGGTAAATTTAATTAATTAATTTAATTATTGATCTTCGACTAATTCCATCACTAATAAGAATAAGATATAAATATCATTTTAAAGTATTTTTCACATCATTAATTTGATGAAGAAAAACTGAGACATATATGTATTTATGTAGAAAATAATACTTTAGTTGTTTCGATCTATAAGTTTGGTAATGTGTGTAATATTTATGACTACGATGCAGTATAAATCTAAGGTATTACACAAATATGTATAGTATAGTTTTGAATGTATATATATTATAGTTCTTTTTTTAGGTAAGTATAGTATGCATGCTTTAAAAACCATACTGTATGGTTTTTCATAAGAAATATTCCATACTTGTGTGATTTAATAGTTTCTAATACTATACATATATAAATAAAAACCATACTATACATACATTTATAACTATACTATATACCCGTAAATCTACAACGGAACATTAAATATGATTTCAACTCGTATTCTAACAAATAAGCATCATGTTCATGTATAATCAACTAAATAATTTATTAATTTTATTTCATTTCATATTATACACGCACTATCAATTTTTCCTTTAGCTGTGACTTAGAGTTTCAATTTTATCCTTTTCAACATTTTACTATTTAGAAGTGTTTGACGTAACTATGAAGAGACGCTAAATCACGAACCTTTAATAATATCAATGACTAAAAAAGAAACGTTTATATTATTTAAACATAATACTGATTTATAAACTTAATGCCAGCTTTAAAGACAACATTTGTGAAAGTATTTGGAATTTTATTTTTGAGTAATTATTAAATTTTGAATTAAGATACCTTTTTCACAAGGTTGTAATGTTTGATAATTGAAATAATCTTTTATTATGATTGGATAAAATAATAATTTTTTTTTGATATTCTCAAATTTTCTTACCTAAATGAATCTCGCATATTAGATTATTTTTTTTCATAAAAGAAAATTAGAGAGGAATAATAAAATATATCAAAAAAAGTTCAATAAAACAAAGATAAGCAAAGGTTCTTCTGTGGAAGTTAAATCGCAAGATTCAGCAGATTATAAATTTAAATTTCTTTTTTTTTTTATGAAAAAAAAAAGCAAATGTTGATTTAGCAAATTATTCGAGTATCTTCAAAAAATTTAATTATCGCTTACATCTTAAATTTTATATGAAAATCTCGTATTAGAAATGTATGTAACAACTCTATCTGGAATTATATATATTATAAATTTGTTAAAATTACACAAAACATCTTACTTGGGACTCGATTCAATATATTTAAAAATTATATTTACAATTAAAAGCATATTTAATATGTCAAAAGTACTGCAACATATTCAAATAAAAATGTATTATTTACATTAGTGTCTAATTTTGGATATAAAGTCATTAAAAATATATTTTAAATGTTTAAATGAGTAATATGATAATAAAACTAAAAAAATAAAAAAGCCAATTCCGATACTAGAAGCTCTAATAAATCTCATGTTTCTCTTCTTTAATAAACGAAAATGTTCGGAGGAACAAAGTTTCCCATTTAAAATTTTTAAATAATGTTAATTACGGTAAAATGGTTTGCATTTTTATGTTCGCTGTACTTTGGCGGCAAATTTTCATTTTTGCTAAGGATATAAAAATACAAATGCATCCAAAACTGAACTGGTGTTCTTGGTTTTAATGAAACATTTTTTTTTTGCAGGCTTAATTATCTTTTTTCAAATATTTTTTTTTTGTTTTCTAAATTATTAATTGTAAAATTATTTTCATTAATAGTTAATTTTTCAATATTGTTAGTTTTATATTTCGTAAATAAAGAGATATACTTTTAAAAAAGAAACAAAATTCGGTTGAATACTTTTCTTTATTTTATCAGTTAAATGTTTACTTTAGATGAATAATTGCAATTTTAATTATAATTTTTCAACTTTTAAAGAATACAACTGAAATTACTCTTTTATTTAAGATATTTTCTGGCTAATTCAAAATTTGTTAAAACTTCTCATGCGCGTCAGTATGTTGTATTAAAATGAAATTGATATTTAAAACTTTCCTAGATTAAACGTAGTCCCTCAGAGTAGATAAAAAAACTGATATGTATGTCTATGTTGTGCAAAGTATTTTTTTAGCATAAGCTGTATGGAATTTTTTTCACTTGTGAACACATTGGCTGGGCTCTGGAATCCACAAAGATATATTTATTGCGCTGCTTTATCTGGGTAATTTCAACAAAGTGCCTGAGTATATATGTAATGTAATGTCCTGCGCGCCATATTTCACATTGAAAGATTGCTATATTTGGGTAATTTTGAAAGATCGCTATTAATCTTATCGAATGCTTTGAAAGGTTTTAATATTATAAGAAATTTTTGAATGAAAAAAAAAGTCTCATTACTATTTTAGGTCAATTTTTTGTAATTTGTGAAGGATCCCGGAAAAAGTATAATTTTTTTTTTGCATTGACCGGATCAAAACTTTGAAAGATCGCTAATTTAGTTCCGCAATTATGGTAATTTTTGAAAGATCATATCGCAGTAACTTTTAAAATAAACTTCTTTGAAAGTTTTTTTTGAATTTTGAGGCTGAAAAAATATTATAGGAAATATTTTAATGAAAAAAAAAAAGTCTCATTGTTTAGATCCTGGTAAAAGTACAAATTTTTTTTTTTTATTGAACTTTATATTTCTTTCCGCAATTTTTGGTAATTTTTGAAAGATCGTATCGCAGTAAATTTTGAATTAAGCTTAATGCATTTTCTTTGAAAGGTTTTTAAAATTTTGAGGCTGAAAATTCTTTTAATAATATAATATAGGAAATGTTTGAATGAAAAAAAAATGTCTCGTTGCTATTTAGGGAGATTCGTTGTAATTTGTGTTTGGTCCGGATCAAAATTATAGTTTGTCAAAATTTTTATTTAAGGACAAAAAATTTGCTTTCTTTTTTTAAAAAAAATAAAACATTCAGAAAAAAGAACAAAAAAATAAAAAAATTCCTTTATAAATCCTTTATAAATCCTTTATAAATCCTGATTTTCTTATCCATTTTTCTTTTTTTTTTGCAAACAATTTTATTAAATCCATTCAAAATGACATCTTCAATTCCTCAAGAATGTTTAGAAATGATTTTCGAGTTTATTGATCGACAGTTTCTTTTATCATGCTTATTGGTGAATCGATTTTGGTGTAATATTTCAGTACGGATCCTTTGGAGAACCATATTAAATTACAAAACCTTCTACGCCTGCCTTCCCAATGAATCGAAACTTTTGTTACAAGAAAATGGAATCATCATCCCAACTCCGACTTCAAGACCTTTATTATTTAATTACGTTGAATTCATTAAAAAGCTTAAGGAAATGACAATAATTTTGGGACATTCTAAAATTCTACCAAACTACCCCATAAACAAAAGAGCGTTAATCGTACAAGAAACGTTCAAGATGATAATGAAGCATGCTTCATTAAAAGAAATAGATATTAAAACGACTTTTTCTTTCTTGACCATCAATGTACCATACATTACCTTTCCTGGAGCGAACCTTTGTTTTCAAAACCTTTGCAAATTTGTTGGGGATTCATCTACAAACTCCGAATTTTGTTCTCGACTTGCCGATATCTGCAAAGATATTAAGAAGTTCAAAATGGAAATTGCCGAAGATATAAATGAAGGAATGAAAAAATTTATTTCTGTTCAAAGAAATATTAAGGAATTTGATATACTTCTTCATAATAATAGATGTACGAATATCGTCCCCACTTTAATGAACATTGCAGATACGTTAATTAAATTGAACTTTGAGGGATTAATGTTTTGTCCGAATATGACATTCATTAGTAAATTTATCAATTTGAGAGAACTGTCCATAATACTCAGTTATGATCATGAGAATTTGAGCGCGTTGCAATATGTGACGCTTCCTCAATTAAAAAGATTATCATTAAAAGGTGCGGGAATTCCTCGGGATTATTTATCAAGGTTCCTAGAAAACCATGGAAGGAATTTAGATAAACTCACCTGTGATAACACGTTGAATTCTGTCATAATTAATTATTGCCCGAAATTAAATTTTTTATGTACTTCGTTCTATGAAGAAACTGAGTTACGGTTCCTCCTTAAAAATTGTGAAAAATTAACAACCCTTGAAGTGGATTGTTATCAAAGTTCACTTAATGAAAGCAGGGTCTTGGCAAGTGTGGCTGAAGTTGGCGCATCTACCTTAGCAGAGCTAAGAATAAATAAAAACACGATTCAGAGAGATGCACAAATTTTCTCCGATTTATCGGAGGATATAAATTGGGGGGAGAGAATTGCTCCCATATCGATAATTTTAAATGTTGAAGAAGGGTCAAGAACAAGCGATCAAGGCAGACTGATGATTGAAAAATACATATCGCTTGACAAAATTAAAAGTTATGAAGAAATTTCTCTTCCGATGTATGATCTTTAATTTTTTAATTAATTTTATTTTTATTTATAATTTTTTTTTCTTTTTACTTTTAAAATATCAATAATTTTTATTTCATGTTTTTTTTTTTCTTTGTTGACTTTTTTTAAATTAAATAAAAATATTTTATAATCAAAAAAAAAATTGTTTTTTATGTACCAAATATAACATTAAGGTAAAAATTAATAATATTGAATATTCAAGAAGCTTTTCAATATTTTTACTTAATCACAAACATTTGAAATCAAATTATGCTAACAAGAATTGAATTCTCGCTACCTTAATGAATATCTTGAATCATCTTGTTTATAACGTTAGCGTATCTCTCATTTTATACAAATGAGCGGCTCGATAGCAAAAAGAAGGATCAAATTTTATTAAAATTTAGGCTAATATCTTTTTCCAGCCATAATATATTAATAATCTTTACCATTATTATTCGAATTTATTATATATTATGACTTGTTACAAAAATATTCCATCATAGAATGATTGCTATTGTTCCTTTCTTTAACACGATTTTCCTTGTTCTTTTCATATCAAATTTCGTAGCGCTTTTAGATCGATCTTTTTTTACATGCAAATTTTTGTAAAATTTCGTCAATTCTTTTGCTGGAAAAAAACAAAAATCACGTTTTACGACCAATCCAATATAATAAATCTCAAATATATTCAAAGTAAATGCAATTGATTATATATCATTGACCCATAAGGGGTCATTTTATTAAAAATCAATACTAATACTAATACTAATGTTACGATACATCATAAAAATACATATTAAATATAAAAATAATCATAAAATTGTTCGGATCTTTATAATAAGCGACTTTCGCCACCGACCAGCGGCAGCTACTCTTAAATCACGAATTAAATTCGCACGGGCTTAGTCATGTCGGGTCCATTATCACACCGACCGTGCCTGGCGGTTGGCGGACGAGCACACCATCCATTTCCCTCACTACCCCGGGAACTATAATCATACAACATTGATTAATTCATACTCAAACTAAATAAACATAGTCGATTAATACATACATATATTTTTTTTCCAACTTTTTCTTTGGATCACAAATTTAGTTCCATCAATTCCCCCGTCTTTAGGATTCTGTATTAAAAATAAAGAATAAAAATTAAAAAAATTAAGCATATGTGTCATAATAATCAAAGATCAAGTGGCGCGTTCACAGTGGCGTATGTTTGTACTTTTGATTAGTGATTAGTGTTTCCTACATACTATAGGGATATCAGAACGCTTACAGCCGAAACTTTGACCACTCCATTTTACACCAAGTGGCAGAGTACTTTGCGAGAGTTACTCACCCTGTCCATTCTGGTTCATAACCTTCGTTGATTAAGTCTTCGACAAGGGTTCTTTCTAATGCTCTCTTCTCTTCCTTTGGCAACTGAAGAAAGTCATTTTTTTTAAAAAAGATTTTAGAAAAATTTTGGTAAAGTTGTATTGAGATTTCCCTTTAATTTTCTGTAGAGTATATATTCATTATTAACGTAAAGTATCCGTGTTTTTGTGACTTTTAAAAGATTTTATAACGAAAATTTGATAAAATTGTTATATTTAGTATATATTCATTACATTATTAACGTAATCGTGTCGAAACTTGTTGTGACTATAACCAACAATCGTGTTTACCATTTTTGTCAAAATTAAAAAGCTTCATAAAAGTTCTTCCATTGGTTAAAATGTTTCATCAGTAATACCATTTTCGTCAGTATCACGTGAAAATTAAGTAATAATCATTAAAATTGCGAAATCACTCTTTGCCTTCTCAAATATAATAAATGGTCCAGTCTGTTATTGAAAATAAGAAAAATTCAAAAATGAGATTGCAAAAGATTCCTTATATATAAGCAAGCATTTTCGAGATAATTATTATTCCAGAACATTGAAATCGTACATTCCATATACCAAATTTTGAATTTATCATCGCTTTTCATATTGTTTCAGAAAGCAATAAACCATTCTGATATATAATAACTTTACAAAAAATCTAGTGGAAATTTTATGCAAACCGTTTTTGGAATTCGCAAAGTTAAATAATTTAAAATGAAATTTCAAAGGCCAAGATCCATTTAAATTTTTAACGTTAGATATCTTACGGATTCTAATTACTGCGTCAATTAAACGTTAGTATTCGAAACTTGGTATGAACAACCCCCCGCCTTTGTTACGGGAATTGGTACAGTTTTATTTTCAAAACTTGTATAAGAGATGGATGGAATATAGATAAATTATCATTCCATTATCTCATAAGAGGTTTGTTTCATTTTGATTGTATTATTTGCGTTAGGTCGAATTTTATACTGGAGGATTAATATTTTTGTTAGAAGTAAATTTATTCCCATACATTGTAAAATTTTAGCGATGAATAAAGAAAAGTACGCGAAAAATTGTGTAGTTGATTTTTGTAAGTGGATTTCCAGGTAAATTAATTATTCATTTGCAAACAAATTTTTTTTAATATTTTCATCACTTTTTTTTTTGTTTCTATAGGAGATTATTGTCTGTCTATCCACCTTTAAATTGGTTATCTTTCACGATTTTTGGAATTTTTTATGGCAATGTCACCATAGAACGAGGACGGAATGAAAAATCTAATAGAAATTTTAATTTGGTAATTATTTTATAATGTTTATTAGTCTTCCGAAATGTACCATGTTCTCATATTAATTTTTCTTTTTAGAAAATCGGAATCTTCCTTTTAACGCAATAAGAATTCCTGCTAAATATCTACACCTTGTTTAACAATCAATCCTATTTATGAATGCTATTAAATATCCACCGGATTTATCATTCATTAAATCGTATATGGGGTTAAATCATTTAATACTTACATTCCTTTACATAATTCCTTCGTTCTGTTAACCGGTTAAATATTTTCTTTAACCAGTAAAATAGTTAGATTTTTGTGATTACAAATATTTCGCTAGCTCCGCCAAAATTTATAGTTCCGGCCTAAGTTATATTTAACCGATTAAAGAATATTTTACCAGTTATTAACAGCTTAATGATTTTTAGACCGGTTCCAACTCTACGTTCAACTCGTTTTTTCAAAATTTTTGATGATTGACCAGGACGAAATATAAGAACACGTTGAAAATAAAAATTAATTTAAAGATATTAAAAATATATAAATCAAAGCAAATTTAAATTGTCCATAATTAATTCAAAAGTGGATTTTATTTTTTTTTTTTTAAAAAAAATTTCAAATAAAATTATATTTAAATAAGGTGATGGAGAGAAAAAAAGCTTAGGTCGTGATTGGTGATTTTGTGACATCTAAACCCAACTTCTTGCAAACACTGCTACACTTATGATTTGCAAGGAAACATTCCTCTATTCCTCTCCTCCCGAGATTAGTTCTCCCGAACCTTAAGGAATCAGTACATTGTAAAGCCGGATCTGTCAATAAAAACTGATCCGAGAATTCTGCTCCTTGTAGATCATAAACCAATAAATATCCTCCGGTGTAATCATAGGTGAAATGGGCGAACGCTTCAAGCGTAGAATGAAATTCAGTAATGATCCCACTATTAACGTTGAATCGCTTATACTTTGCATTGCGAAGGTTAGGTTCTATGGTATAAAACTGGTTTTTAGATCCAGAAGCTCCACGCAAGAGTTTCGCTTGAAGGAATTTGACCTTTTTATTGATACCGACCCGTTTCGCTTCGATATTAAATTGTTTGGAAAGGAAATGAGCGATGGTAGAGACCTCCACCGCCTCAAGGTACCGTTCAACTGAGTTCGCCTTACGTCCAATCTCAAGGTATTCTTTTATCACCACTTTCTCAGCCGGTTCACGTTTGACATCTAGAGCAAAATATGCATATCGTTCCGCGCCAACGGAGAATGGCTGTGGGGCGAGCTTAAAAGAGAGACTTTGAACATTAGCATTTGATTTTTTAAAATATTCCTTGTTCATGATGTCGTCAAGTGTTTTAGGGAGATGGTAACGCAAAACTGTTCCCGTTTGCTCATCAATCGTATCCCAATCAGGTTCATCCGGATTTATTTCTAGCTCTTTACGTCTTAGTGAGTATACGTCATTTCCCAAAGTAGCGGTTAATGAAACGGAAGATGTGATTGTCAAACAAGTGGCCTGAAAATATTTGAAGATTAATTCCACGGAATCAAAATCAAACACTTGAATTTCCCCAATTATATCACGGAATATGCGAAGCATCTCATCAGTGTGGTTTGTGATTTTCCCGAAAAAGTAGAGAATGTTTGACGATTGCATTTTTTCCAGAACGCTTTCCGCAGTTAAGCCGTTCGGATCACCTTCCGGGTAATCATCGTTCATTTTAGTGTAACGACGACCGTGTGGAGGATAATCGCCGATGTGAAAAATGACGCGAGTGGTATGAAGCCAGCTCATTTGAGTAATGGCTGCGTTAATTCCTCCTAGAACGTCTTCTGGACCATCGCCTCCACCTTTAGCTGATACCTCATTGGATATATTGTTTCTGAATTGTTCGTATGAGTTCGTGAAGTCAAAAATCTGAAAGTTGTCATCACCATCGCAGTGATCACGATAGCCGCAAAATCCAACACGAATTTTAATACTAGGATTCGTACGTTCCATGTAGCTTACTACCTGCATGATGCAATCCTTGGCAGCGGCAATATGCCTATACATAGAACCGGTACAATCCAAGACGTAACAAAGGTCAACATTCATTGCGGATTCGATCCTTTTAAGCATTGATGATATAGCCTTTTCTCGTAAAGATTTAGTATGACTCTCTAATGTTTTATCACTCATAAAACGTGCATCACCCGCCTCCGCGGCATAACGTTCGATACGGTCTATGTTCAGGTTGTCCATTTCGGATATGAGTGACGAGGGGATGGAACTGGCATTTGTTGTGCTAGATGACCAGCCAGAAGTTAGAGAACCAGCATCACAAGGCGCACTAGGCGTATGCCCGAATTTTTTCATGTCAAATTCTGTGCCCATTTTTGCTAAAAAATTAACTTCTTGTCTTTTAAGGAGTTATTTAAGTGGGCACACCGAAAATGATAAATATTATCCTTTAAAGATAGAAAGTGAATTCCAAAATCTAATAAATCAAGCATGTGACTATTATTTATAGAGTAATTAAATTGCTAAAGGGTCACTTCCTGAGAATTAATTCTAAAGCGAAATGGCAAGTTATTTCAAAATGCACCTATTTATAAAAAAATAACCATTTACTAATTTGGAAACAAAGACAAAGATTAACCAAATTTGTAGCCAAGTGTAACTATCCTATTGAAATTTGTCAATCCTTTTACCATCAAACTGCGGAAATATTCACTCTTTTGCTTAGTAAATATTTTGACCAAAAAATTATATATTCACAAGACGAACAATCATTTAAAATTTTAGACACGCGTTCGATTCATATGTAAAATGCATTTGAGCATTCAAACCTCTAGTAATTTATTGGACAGTATTTTCCGTAACGAACCAATTATTTTATAGCGGGTAAAACGATCTAACACTTCGATAAAAAAAATTGCCTTGGTAATGATAATAATGATTAAGGATTTAAACATTTATTGCATTATTAGAATAATTATTAATACATTGACTTTTTTTTTAGATCTGCTATTATTATTTTAATATTCTATATTTCAAGCCCGTTTACAACCAGTCAGTAAAGATGATAATTGGTCCTACGCGTCCGTCTTAGTCTTTGTTTCATCAGTCTTACACAAAGACGGACCGGACTGCGGTTTTAATTTATAAAGACCGATCGGAAGGACCGTCAGTCTTGTAATTCAGTCTTTTAAAAATATATATAT